TTGAGTAAGGGCTTGAGTAGAGGTTTTAAAGGTTTGGTTTTAAGGTTTAGAGGGTTTTAAGGCTTGAATTTTAGGATATGAAAGGTTTAGGGTTTTGATTTTAGAGTTTGGAGATTTTAGGGTTTGGGTTTTATGTTTAGGGTTTTAATTTAAGGGTTTGGATTTTAGGGATTTTGATTTTTGGGGTTTGGATTTTAGGGGTTTCAGATTTTAGGGGTTTCAGATTTTAGGGATTTTAGATTTTTAGAGGTTTCGGATTTTAAGATTTTTGATTTTAGGAGATTTTGGATTTTAAGGGGGTTTAGAAACCTAAGATTTTGAAAATTAAAAAATAGTGTTTAAGGTTTCGTTTTTAAGAAAATACAAACATCTCTAAAAATTTTCAACCTCTAGGCGGATTTTCGAAACAAGTTCGATTTTAGTGATTTTTAAAAATTAATTAAAAATTTCTTATATATATATTTTGAAAATTTATTAATAATAATTTTCTAACATTTAGGCGAAATTATTTTTCTTAGAAAAATATTTTTTATTCCCTCCAACATCTAGACATGAAAAATAATAATAATAATAATTATTATTTTTTGAACATTTTTAATATATTTTTAATCGTTTTCATTTTTATTATTAAAACAATGAGACATTTATTTTAACAAATTTAGAAATTTATCATGCAAGAATAAATGAAAAAAAACTCAAAATAACAAAAATAATAATATAAAAAAAATTTAGAAAATTCAAAAAAAAAATTTTTTTTACCTAAACCGGACCGGTCAACGATCCAATCAACACTGGTTTGGACAGGTTTGACCAGTTCTGTGATTTAGTCAGCGGTTCGGGCAGTCTAGTGATTTAGATCAGTTCAGACCGGTTCACTGGCGATTCATCTAGATCGGTTCAAGGTTGGTTGAAGCGGGTTAGTGGGTCGGTTTGCTCGGATCTCTGGTCGGATCCGGGTCCATGCGCGGATCCTCCTTTGTTAAAACGACGTCATTTTGGATCTTTCCCTAAACGACGTCGTTTTGAGTTTTGTTTTCCTATATATAACTAAAGATTTTTTTTGTTCATTATTTTCTGTTTTAGAAAAAAAATGAAGAGAAAAAGAGAGAGCTTTGGGGGAGAGCTCCGGGCTCTCGCCTTCCGGTCGCAGGACCGTCGCGTCGGCCGTCCCCTGGGTCACCACCGGCGAGGTTGCCAATGGTCGTTGGTGGTCGAAAAATTTCAATAATACTCATAGAAGTGCTCTTCAATGCACTTTTCCTAGATCTGACATCCGTTTTACCATAAACAGCCCCGATCAACGTAGATCGGGGCTCAAAGTTTTTGTTTCCCTTTTTTTTTTGTTGAAACAAGACTGACGTGATTTTTTTACTTTTGCAGGTAGCTTTGGCGCGGGTTCCTCCCTGCAGGGAGGACTGTGTTTGTCTCTTTTTTTGTTTCTGTTTTTCTGTTTGTTGTTTTTTTGTGGTCTGGCTTAGGTTTTTTTTTTTTAATTTTCTGATGGGTAGGAAGTTTTGTGGGAGGCTTGGACTTGGGTGCTAGTTTGGGACTAAGCTTGTTGAAAGGGGGCCTGGGTAGTGATGAAGGGCAAGCCCTTCATGTGTCCGAGAGAACCGATCAAGGGGAAGAAATTGAGGGTTTTTAAGGAGTTCAAAACGGAACAGGTGGTGGCAGGGTGGCTGTAGGATGGCTGTCTGGTCTGGTGGCTAGACAAGGAGTTGGTCGAGTATGAGAGTGGGCTGTAAGGTGGCTGGTCGGGGGCGACAGCAACACCATACACCAACCACCTTACTTTTTGTTTTTTTTTTCTTTTTCCTGTTTTCTCTTTCTTTTTTTCAATAATTAATAATTATTTAAAATATATTTATTGTTATTATTATTATTATTATTATTATTATTATTATTATTATTATTTTTAATAGTAGACCCGGACAAAACCGGTGTCTACAAGGCCAAAAGGCTCCAATCTAATCACACCAACGGAAGTCTAATGAAATAATGAATCAAACACACAAGAAACAATAATTTAACGTGGTTTAGTCCAACTAACTTATGTCCACGAATGAGAAACAAGATCCACTAGTTGTAGAGAATTACAAACATACATCAAATCATCAACCTCACTCAAAAATCAAACCCATAAACCCTTTTAATCTCTTCTAGTCCTATAGAGTATTCTCAATCCAAATAAATACATACTCATGTCACCCTTTCAACACAACCGAACATATACCTATATGCACCTATACATCATATCTATGTAGACTCTTTCAGTCTCCTCTAATCCACTCACAAACAAACATACATACCCATAAGACGTAAAGCCCCAGTACTCTTATAGGGTATCTATCCCACAAAAACCATATAACGCTCTTATATCTTTTTCTCATATATAAACTTATAGAGACTTTACCTATTTATAACCATACAAACTTGTCTATTAAGAATCTCTTTCTTCTTAGAATTCTTATTTTGCAAGTCTTCTTATTCATCAAGCAATATCTGGCTAAACCCAAAAAAATATCTCTTATGGGATTTGGTCATTATTCCTAATAATCTTCACTTTGACTCAAATTTCATCAAATTATCTATCTTCATGCTAGACATGCTTAGCTCCACTTGCAATAAAAGTCTCACAATCATCTTCTTTTGTATGTCTTCACGCTTCATGCAAATCAATCTTCAAGACACAAACTCGAACTTCTTTATTGAATTGAGCTCCTTTAGGCTTGTCTCGAACCTTCAGCTTCTCCTATGTCTCGAACCTTCAGCTCATCCCACGTCTTGAACCTTCAGCACTTCCCACTTGTTAGGAAATCACCACAGCTCTTATACCACTTGTTAGGCCAAAAGGCCCCAATCTAATCATACCAACGAAAACCTAATCAAACAATGAATCAAACACACAAGAGATAATAATTTAACGTGGTTCGGTCCAACTGACCTACGTCTATGAATGAGAAACAAGATCCATTAGTTGTAGAGAATTACAAACATACATCAAATCATCAACCTCATTCAAAAATAAATACCCATAGGCCTTCTCAATCTCCTCTAGTCCTATGGAGTATTCTCAACCCAAACAAACATATACCCATGTCACCCTTTCAACACAATTAAACACATACCCATATGCACCTATACATCATATCTATGTAGACCCTTTCAATCTTCTCTAGTCCACTCACAAATAAACATACACACCAATAAGACATAAAGCCCTAGTACTCCTATAGGGTGTCTATCTCACAAAAACCTTACAACTCTCTTACATCTTTTTCTCATACCTAAACTTATAGAGACTTCACCTATTTATAACCATACAAACTTGCCTATTAAGAATCCCTTTACTCTTAGAATTCTTCTTTTGCAAGTTAAACTTGCCTATTAAGAATTTTCTTTCTCTTAAAATTCTTCTTTTGCAAGTCTTTTTGTCCATCAAGCAATATCTAATCAATTCAAAAAAAAAAAATCTCTTATGGGATCTGAGTCATTATTTCTAACAAAAAAGGGTATCCTAGATTAGTTTCTGGTTGCTGCTGGCAATGAGAGTTGGTCAGAACATGAAAAGTGACTTTAACGAACTTGGAATGGACCAACTAATGCTCCATTGAGAGTAGCATTTACACTAGATATGCCATGAATAGGAACAGTGCAGGAAAAGGTGATCAATGGATTCTGGCTCCTCACAAAATGGGCATTTGTTCACCATTTTCCTGAGGTAGCCTCTTTTGTGGAGTATGTCAATGACTGGGATGCCACCTTATAATGCTTTCCAATAGAAAATCTCAACTTTTGGTGGAGCAATCCCTTTCCAGATGTATTTTTTCAAGAGTTGATGCTGAGTCTGATAAGGAATCGAGTACTTCTTTGAAAGATTTGAACTATATAGCCTGTTGGTGCTGTGCAGCCATCAATCCTGTCACGAGCTGTTGGGCATAGTGTTACTGAATTTAGCAGTATCATGAGCTGCTTCCATATTTCATTCTCCCAATCAAACAAGCTTCGACGCAAGGCAATTTTCCAATTCCATTTCAGCCTTTTCCATTCGCTAAAATCTTTAATGAGACCCTCTTTTTTGTCTGCTAAGGCATATATTCTTCCAAACTCATTTTTCAAGACAATCCCTTCGATCCAATTATCGTTTCAAAATCGAATTCTAGCACCATTACTTGCACAGAAGAACAAACTGGATTTTATAAAGTTAGAATAATCTCCTGAATGCCATGTGTTTTGGATATCATTCTAGATTCGAGAGAGGGAACATGGCGAATAAAGGGCAGGCCAAAGATCAATATCGTGGATGTTATATTTGTCACAAATCACTTTCCTCCAGAGAGAATTGGTTTCACAACCAAATCTTCAAGACCATTTCAGAAGCAAAGCTTGGTTGGATTAATGCGAGCTTGTCATTCCCAAACCTCCATATTTCTTGCTCCTGCAGATAGTACTCCAATCAACAAATCGAAGCTTGCGCTTGTCTTCTGTGTCACCTCATAAAAACTGGCATAATTTTCTCCAGTTCAGAAAGCACTCCACTTGGGGCTTTGAAAATTGACATGTAGTACACAAGGGGATCATACAGAGTCAACTTTATTAATGCTATTCTTCCCCGATGGACAATAGCTTGCTCTTCCAGTGACTGAGTTTGTTTTTGAACTTGTTAATAATCGACTGCCACGTAGAGATCCTCCTTGGGTTAGCACCTAAGGTAAGGCCAAGATATTTCACTGGTAAGGTTTCAACTTTTCAATGAACTCTCAAGGCCCATTGATCTAGAGCTTGGGGAATCCACCTTTATTCCATACAAGACGCTTTTATTGAAGTTGACTTTTAGACCAAAGCATAGCTGAAAGCTCTGAAGAGTTCGTTTAATCATTATCAGTTGCTTAACTACTGCTTCACAAAAGATTATAGTGTCATCTGTGAATTGGAGATAGGAGATTTGCAAGTTGTTCTGTCTAATGTTGACACCACCAAATAGTCCTATGGAAACTGCCTTACCAAGTAGCATATTCAGTCCCTGTACTACGATAATGAACAGGAATGGAGATAGGGGATCGCCCTGCCGAAAACCACCTCTGTAACATGATTGGGTTGGAGGGAGAACCATTTATGAGGAATGATACAGAAGTTGTCAAGATGCAACACCATATCCTCTCCATCCACTTCTTCTCGAATCCTATAAGACTCATGATAGAAATAAGGAATCACCAATTGACACTATCGAATGCTTTCTCAAGATCTAATTTAAATATCAATCCTCCTTTTGGAGATTTTCTTATGCAATCAATAAACTCATTAATAATTAATATGCTATCCATAATTTGTCTACCTTTCACAAAGGCAAATTGAGTATTATGTATAATAGAAACCAAAACCTGCTTTAATCTACTGGCAAGGGTCTTAGCAAGAATCTTGTATAAGCAGCCACTAAGGGAGATGGGTCTAAAGTCATTGAGAGTTTTCGAGCATTGGTTTTTTGCAACTAGCACTATGAAGGAGCAATTGATCCCTTTTCTGATCTTCCCAGTTTTATGGAAATCACCTATGAACTCCATGATGTCCTCTTTTAGCAAACTTCACTTCCTTTTAACAAAATTGAGGTTAAAGCTATCGGGTCTAGGAGCTTTATCACCATCACACTCCATTATAGCTGCCAGTACGTCATCTTCAGAGAAAGGGACTTCAAGAAGTTGAGCCTGTGAGGTAGTAATGGTTTTCATTTCCTAGCTGGTAAATGACATGGTTGGCCCAGACATTTTTTTGTAATGTTCCCTGAAGTGCTCTTCAACAACTTGCTTCATTTCTTTAGGGTTGGTTAGTAGCTTGCCTTTAAAAGATAAATGCCCCAAGAAGTTATTTCTCCATCAACTATTCGCTATACAATGGAAAAATTTAGTGTTCTTGTCACCATTTTGAATCCATTTCAATCTCGACTTCTTTAAGTTTTTTTTTTTTTTCAATAGACTGGAGGCGCCACAATTCCTTTCTTTTATCATTGATTAACGACCCAATGGCATTCTTTGAGGGTTCAGCTTCATTGTTTTTCTCAAGCTGGGCAATCTCCCTATTAAGAAATCTCTCTATCCATAGACCCTGCCATACCTTCATTCATTTAACCATTCCACCTCCAAATGTCTTGTTTCAGCCTTTTCAATTTTTGATGGAGATGATAGCCAGCGTAACCTTGAACATTGTAGCTTCTCCATTTTTCATCAACCAGTCCAGTGAACTCACTGTTATCAAGTCAATGATTAAAGAGCTTGAAAGGTTTGGGACCCGAATTGGACTCCTTTATGCCCAGACAGATAGCAACATGATCCGATAGTGAAGTATCTAAGCTCTATTGGTTGATGTTGGGGTAGGCATTCAGCCAATTTGATGAGATAAGGAACCTGCCGAGCCTACTCATAGTCATTGAATTGTTTCTTCTGTACTAGGTGAATTTTCTTTCAACCAAAGAGAGATTCACTAGCTCTGTCATTTGTACAAAGTTTATAAAGTCCTGCATTGATCTAGTTGAATCTAAGATCCAACCTCTTTCATCTCCATGCATCACTACATTAAAGTCTCCAGCATAACACCAAAATTCCTCACTGTTATTTCTCAACAAAGCCAACTCTTGCAAAAAGAGCTTCCTGTCGCTTACATCACTTGGGGCATATAAATTGATCAAATTAATAGTACTAGGCCACTTTAGGAAGTTAACTTTTAACCAGAAGAACCTTTCCTCTGCTGTTGCGAATCCTAGCTGAAAGTCTTTTTCGAGGACCACATGCATAACAGACCCCCAGCAAAACCACGAGCATTGCTATGGATGAATTTGACATGGTTTTTCTCCCAAAGCCAGCGGACAACTCTGGCAGTCACTCCTGTGAGTTTACTTTCTTGTATGAAAACCATATATGGTTTCTCCCTGTTAATTAACTTCTTTAGGGCCCTTCTTTTCTCCAGTTTCCCAATAATTTTGATGTTGATCGAAATAATCTTCATCTAGAAACAAGTTACCCCAAGTGCGAATAGGATTAGGGAACTAACAATTTCCAGCCCATTCTTTCTTGTCCATCTCAATAATTAGCAATTTCTCTATAATTTCATCATCAGTTGCTTCTGGCGTTAGCCGAAGGGGTTTACCAACTTCCAACGTTTTCTTAGCTTCCTTTCTGAGAGCTCTGTTTCTGCTTCTAATGTCTTCATCTGACAAGCTACCTTCTTAAAGGAAACGAGAATTCAATTCATTCAACCCCAAATTTGGCTTCTGGGAATAGTTCTTGATCCCTTTCTTTCTGTTGCTCGATTTCATCGATTCCTTCTTGCTCACTTTCAGCTCAGAAACCGAAACCATTCTCCTACTCATTCTTCCTTTTTTTTTTCTTGGCAGAGTAGAAATTGTTTCCAAAACTTCAACAGAGATTTTCTTTTTTGGGTGGTTCTCATACTCAGGTTCACTGAGATGTTCATTATAGCGTTCTTCCTTCTATAGTTTTTTCGACCATTTCAACAGAGGAAGGCCTGGCAACCAACTTCATCCTCTTTGGACTGTTTTGTTTATCTCCTTGCTCACTATGGGCTGAAGTGGAGTGGGGCACCAAGCATGGTTCTGATGGGCTCAATCTACTGGAACTTGTGTCTTCAAACAAGACCAGTCTTTCTTCCATATTAGGCTTGTTGTCAAAGACTTTGGTGACCCAGACTATTTCTTCAAGCCCGGGCCTATTTGCTGACATCTCATCATTTACCATATTCATCTGGCCCTTATTTTCTTCAATGCATAGTCAGCAGCTAATTTGAATTCGATAGCAAAAAAAACAGCTTCTCCAGTTGTATCTTCTAGTTCCAACGAGTCGTTATTTTTTTGATAGTTCACGCCTCCTTGATTTAGTGCTGGCTGTTCCTCTTCTTCTTTGGTATATTGAATCCTTCTAGAACCCGCCTCTGTGGGATGATGCTACGATATTCTTTCCTCATGGATGAAACTTCATTGGAACTTGAGCGAGTGGAGGATGACAAGGGTTTATTTTGTATCATCTTTTTCACACCTAAGTTCCGGAGGAATTCAGGACCTTCCTCAATGGAAACTCTGACAGGATTCGATTTCCCATTGATCAACAACAATATTGAGTGAGGAAAAGGACAAGATTTGCTAATGAATGATAAGACCCTAGCAGTATCTAATCATCTTTTATTCATCGTATTATCATCAATGGAGATGAAGCTTCCCCATAAATTTCCATTTTTTTGAAAAGATCATAGCACCATCCATGAATTCGAATGTCTTCCAGTTTTAACCGTACGAATTTGTCCCCGCTTATCAATTCCGGACTCCATGGTTTCACCCAAAAAACCATTCACTTAGCCGCATTCTGTCCTCATCTAGTATACCTAAATTTCGTCCTTTGATTCAAATCTTAGAAGAACCATAATGCCTCCCATAACAGTAACGGAAAAATGTAGCACACCTTGACTGAAGATGTGTTGCTGGAGCATATGTATTGACTGAGGGTGTTTTACTTCCATCATCGCACATGTCCCTAACTATTCCAACTCCAATTCATCTTCATCCAGGGCTATCTGAAATCGTAGGGAGTTATCATCATCTACATTTTGCTTCAGTTACTTCTCAGAGCCATCAATACTTTCTGTCCTTACACTGGCCTTGGTTTTATCATCCATTGAGTTTCTCTTCACTACTTCAGCATATGTTGGTTTTCTAGATCCATTAACCACCTGTTGCTGATAATCAGTTACTCTTATGTACCTCTTATGGCTTTGAGCATCCTTGGTTGATATTGATATGCATTTTGCATACTTAGAAAGACCTACGTTTAGCCTCCACCCATCCCATACTATGCCACCCAATGCCCTAATTACAGATTAAGCCTCTCGTAAATCTTCGAAGCGAAAGAACCCTAACTTGCTACGTCTTCCCTTTTTCCTGTTTAATGGAATATAAAAATCAAATATCCTGCCACACTGCATGATTAATTTTCACAATCACCCTCTCTTCTAGATAAAGGGATATTGTCCACGAAGACAGTGATTAGCTTTCTTTTCCACTGTTCAATCTCAGAAAATCACTGATTCTGAACCCACAAACGTTCTCAACACCACCCCCCCCCCGGGTGATTCCAATTCCCCTCTCTTGTTCTAGGTTTCTCTCTTATCTCTGTCCCTCTTTATTAAAAAAAAAGTTTTATCAAAATATTAATAATGTTAATAATAATTGAGGTTGGGTTTTATATATACATATATATATACATATATGAGAAGGGATTGACATGGTGCAAAATTAAAAAAATTCTATATATTTTAAATTATTAATTCTAATAGATAAGAGAGAGATAAGTAAAAAATGAGAAAAAAATGATTTAATTTTATTCAAGAAATCAATAATTAAAAAATTAGTAAAATTTTTTTTAGTTTTACACTGCATAAATGGATCCCTCGTGTGTCTATATATATATATATATATATATATATATATTGCGGAAGACAAAATGGAAATTCTGAAATTCTATATTCAAAAGTAAGAACATGTGTTTGGTTTAGCCCAAATTGTAGGCCCACTGCAATGTGCATCAAGCAAGGGTTGGAAGTAAGAACAAGCCTTACCTTGCTTGGATTTTATTTGTCTGCTTGCCCACTCCACCGGCCAAGCTCTAGCAACTGACACGATTTCAATTTCAAATTAATTTTAATTTCTAAATTTATAAAATTCTCATCTTTGTATTATCTTTTATATTAAAGAAGTAATAAATAATATGATTCAACTTGTATGGAGATAAAATTTTTACAAGTTGTATTAGATGGATTAAGATTCGAATTTTGTATGAATATATAAATTATTTATATAATTTAATAATTAATTTTATCTATATAAATTATTATGTTAACAAAATTAATATTGACATCATTAAGTCAACAGTTATATTAATATTTTAATAATAAAAATTTTACAAAATTAGTAATTTAACTAAAAGTATTAAATTAAAATAATATAAAAATTAAATTTATATAGATTATAATATATAAATTAAATTTTAAATTTTGACAGACCTTTAACAACAAAAACAATTTGACCGAAATAAAATAATAATTCATAAAAACACAAATTCAACAATGGAAGTCTTTGTTTAGTACGACTAGACCGACAATGTTTTTATCTTAATCGAATGGGTCACAGTTTTCATTAGATTTTTAATGAAAACAGTTTGTTACAAATTTTTTAAAATAAAATCAGAGGATCCAAAAATTGTCAACTTTTGACTGCCTTGACTCAATTGTGATAAGAAAGCTTCGAAGCACGTGACAGCACGTGAACAGTCCCTCTGCAGTTCATGTTTAAAACGTAATGTTTTTTTTTTTTTTTGTTTCCAACTGCTCATAACCTCACGTGACTTTGTCATCCAACGAGAGCTCCCCACGTGATATGATGCATCAAATTTTGCTATTTATTGTACACGTGGCAGTTGCTTATTTGTTATTTGATCCATGTCATCCATTCCAAGTGAAATCCATTAAGTGTGAACTACATTAAATGGAAGTTTTATTTTTTTAAAATAAAAACTATAAAAAAATTTTGTTTTCTCGCAAATTCATGGAAAACTGCCTCTCATCAACAACTGTTGTGGTGTTGCCTCCTTCACCAGCCCCCATCCCATGTGCCAAATTTTTTTTCCCTTTATAAACTTTATCTAATGCATTTATTTTTGTATATAGCTATTATTATATGCTTTTGCATGTGGTTCATTTTGGATTTGATCAGCCAATCGCAGCCGTTGGATTGGCCTAATTAATTAATTGAATTTTTTTCGTGCAAAATGGGGCAATCCCTCTTTTTCAACAATTTATGGGTCCTAAAAACAAGTTAATTTCAAGATAAAAGAGGTTTTCTTTTCCTTCATTTTCTAATTAATGGATTTTCAAAGCAGAAAAATTGACTTGGTTTCAACAATTTTATTTGAACTATCATTTTCATATTAATTAGAGAGGCCGTATGACTAATACCTTATGGAAAACTTGGGGACCAGCGTAAGAAATAGTGGCTTGAAATGCTTCTAAAAACAAAATAGAAAAAAAAAAGTCTCATGTTTAAGAAAAAGCTGAGGTAACCCTGACGTAGTACTGATGCAAGTAAATTCAAAGAAAAACTAATTAAATTTTATAAATTATTTTTAACAGACAATATTCAATAAATTTAAATTTTAAATCTTAATTTATATAACTTATTATTTTATTCTTAAGTTGTGATTTTTTTTTTTTATAAAAAGAATTAAAAGAAAGAATAAGCTTAGTTAATTGCCAAAGATTATATGTTTGTGGTGGAAATGGTGAACCATAAAAACGTTGCTTGAGAAAATGGACAAAGCAACCTACAATTTTGCTTGTCTGCAACAATAGAAGAATGAAGAAATTTGACCAAAAAAAAAAAAGTAAATAACATTATCCTAGAGGAAAACTTGTGATGAATATGTAAAAGTAATGTGAATTGCAATGTTGGTTTTCCATGACTAAGAAATCTAGCCTTGCTTGAGCTTTTTTTTTTTCCTAATAGTAAAAGGAAAGGCCAAAGATGTAGGGCCCAACCCGACAAGGATATTAAGAAAATGGAAGAGGGATAATATAAACAAGACAAGGATTTTGATTTTTTTTTCTTTTCTTTTCTTCTAAATTTTCCTTATTAGTACATTTATCTTTTTCTAAAAATTTATATGAATTAGAAGAGTATGAGGGGAAAATGACTTATACAAGGCAAAAATAACCTTTGTTTCACTAGCTAGTTAATTAAATTAATTATGGTGACTTTTAATAAAAAAAATTAAATTTGATAATTTAAAATAAGATATGATGATTTGACATAAATATAATATAAATAAAAAACCAAAAGTAATATGATTTAAAATTTTAATAATAGCGTTATATGAGTTTAATAAAATAAAAAATATATTTAATATTTTCATATTAATATAAATTATAATACATAATTTTTGTATAAAATATAATATGAATATATATTTTAATATTTTACATGATATAAATATATAAAATTATTGGTCTAAAAAAATTAAAATTTTTTAAAAATATATTAGAAGGAATCCTAACCGACTACCAATTTTCAAAGAAAGAATCTTAAAAAAAAAAAAAAGCTTTTTTAGAATTATTAGTTAAAATCCCTCACCTCTTAATCATTGATACTAAACTCAATTAGATATTTGAAATTTGAATGCCATTAATCCATTTTATTTTAAAAACACTATTTAGCATCTCACGTATTGAACTAATAGTGGTACGATTATTAATAGAATATTAAATTATTAATTTAAATAATCAAATTTATTAATTTTTAATAAATTTAAATATATAAAAAAACCAAAAAAATTTTAGTTTACAAGAAAGAAATTAATTTATATGAAATTGATACGGATTTTTTTTTTTTTTGCTAGCTAGCTGGTTTCACATCCACCCTTTAATAAGGCAAAACAGTCTTTTCTTAAGCAAATTAAAGAAGATTTTAAACTTATTAGATCAATCCAAGTAACGTTCACTAGCAACTAGTACAAATTTCTGAGATGGTGATCTGAGCAAAAAGTTATTCACTGATCAGAAATTTTGTACTAGTAGAAGAAGTTTCTTTGCATAGGGGCACACAACCTTTGACTGAAGAAATTGGCATTCCAACCTTTTTTTTTTAAAATAGAAAGTTAAGACTGTTTTTCTTAGCAAAGAGGATTGTCTTTCTATAGCTTGTCAAACATGGAAATATGGAGAGTGTCGGTTCTGTTTTTTTTATTTGTGGACCTTTCCTTGAGTCTGGATAATTGTTTTACAGATTTGACTTGCCTGTCAAAGACCATGGCCTTTGTTCAAGGACACCACTGAGAAAACAAAGGAAAATACTATTCCCAAAACGTGGAGCTTGGTTGCTTTTGCTTTGCTGTTCTTCAAGATTTTCAAATTGAGCCAGCGGGGAAACATGCAAAAGTTTTGATGGTTTAAATGCAAGGTTGCATATGAAAATTTATGGAGATTAGTCCGGCTAGTATTGATAAGAGGTTTTTTTTTTTTTTTTTTTTTTTGTGTTAACCAATATTTGAAAAAAATAAATTTAAGAAAAATCTAAAATTGCCCTTGATCCTATTAGGTGTAATCAACAAATTTTTAGTAAAATAGGAGGATTTTTGCTTGATTTTTGGCAAGGAAAAAAGGTTATTTGGTGGGCTGCATGTGACCTTTAGACTTTTAATTTTGCTTTAATAATGATTGACAAACAAGGATGAGTGCTTGAAAACTCGAGGTTTTTAAAATCATTACCCACTAAATTTATACATCCAATTGATATATGCCCATTGATTTCCTATTAATTGTTTGTACTTTAGATTAGGTTTTGAGTTGATATAATTTCAGAAGGTAGATTCTGCTTTTATGTTCATCAAACTAGTATGATGGATAAACAAATGTTGAAATTATTGCTATAACAGTTTGGTAGTTTCATATTGACAGGTACACATCTCAATCTACACCAAAAATTTTTTGTTTATTTATTCCTTTCTTTTTCTTTTTAACAATTTGGTAAGAAAAGTGATCAATCAAAAGCATGATTTGCTTGCAGCATTTGAAATTGAAAAAGATTAATCAATAGGCAACAAATTTTTAACATTTTTCCAACCAACTGTTTTTAAGTAATTTGATTTTAGTCTTTCTTAGTCTCGCAATTATATCTGATAATTTTAAAAATAACATGATGATATGATATGAAAAAAAAAATTAAAATTTTAATAAAATTTATATATGAATTTAATAAAAAGTAAAAAATATATTTCGATATACCACTATAAAATTTGATATGATAATTTTATTATTTTTACGTATTTAATACAAAATTGAGATAATATAAATACTCAGAATTGCTTCTACAAGTTATTTTATCATTTCTGCCTCACAAGGACCATGACGCCCTTTTTTTTTTTTTTCTTAACATGCTAAACTCAAGATGATAAAAGAACTATTGAAACTGAGGCTTCAAGCAGATGCTTCTAGCAGATGTTTGCTATAAGTCAAAGTTCATATTGATGTTTTACATTGGTGTTTTTTTTTTTTTTCCGGGTCACTCGACTGTAGCAAGACAAAAGCCATTAAAGACTTTTTATGTTCAAACTTCAAATCATCAAAGGTAATCAGCCTTGAATCAATGAAAAATTGATGCCTTATTCTTGGTCCCCCCACCAACTTGATTTCTACGTTTGTGTCAAACCTCCATCATTCATTTTGGTGAGTCAATCCATTCGTTGTAGTCTCCCCCAAAATTTCCTAATCCCCCATACCTGCTGTTAATATACTTAATAAAAATAAGAAAATTTCAAGGGAAATGTACAATAATCGAGACACTGAAAGTCTGAAATAAATTTTTTTTTTCTAGCCAAACTTCTCGTGGAAACCTGAGAGAAATTTACCTATTGTTTTCAGACTTTACACGTTTTCATTTAATTCAATATATTTTGCCTTTTCTTGTCCCCTTTCAACAGCTCCCTCATTTATAGTCCACCTGGGTTTTCTCTCTTCTTCCTCTCTTCTCCGTGTTCTTTGCTTCTTTCTTGACTCCAGCTGTATCTTTTCAAATCTATCTTCGTTGATTCGATGATTGTTTTCCCTCTTGTTTAGCTCTTTGATTGACTCTTTCTGGTTTTATTTTTCTGTTGGTGTTTCAATGGATTTCGAGTACATAACAAGAAATTATTGTTTCCAATATCATTTCTAGTTTCTGAAATAGTGTTTTTTTCAGTATAAAACTTTGCATGTCTGATTGTTTTCAAGATCCAAGCATACCCCTTTCTTTGCATTTTGACAAGTTGTTTTTCATGGATCTTGTAAGTAAAAGCTACACGAACAGGATCCGACTCTCACAAGCTCTTTCTCCAATCGCAAGTCCGGGAAACTCAATCTTGGGGCCTCATTTGCATTCATCTGATACAAGTTTTCCCATCATAGCTATTTCTGTCATAGGAATTTTAGCTACAGCTTTCTTGCTAGTCAGCTACTATATCTTTGTCATCAAGTGCTGCCTCAATTGGCACAGGATTGATCTTCTAATGCGAATTTCTTTGTCTCGAAGACGACCCGAAGACCCTTTAATGGCTTATTCTCCAGCAATGGAACATAGAGGACTTGAAGAATCTGTTATAAGATCAATCCCAATATTTCAATTCAAGAAAGGTGGAAACAACAGAGATTTTGGAGAGAGAAGCATTTGTGAGTGTGCAGTTTGCTTGAATGAGTTCCAGGAAGATGAGAAGCTAAAAATAATACCAAACTGTAGCCATGTTTTTCACATTGATTGCATTGATGTTTGGCTTCAGAACAATGCCAATTGTCCACTTTGCAGAACAAGTATTTCAAATACTAATCGGTTCCCAGTTGACCAAATCATTGCTCCAAGCTCAACTCCACAAGAACCAAATCCATATACTGAAAATATGTTTAGTGGTGATGACGATTTTGTGGTGATTGAATTAGGTAATCATAGTTCCACCGATCAAATATTGCTTGGTGCACAAGAAAGATTGAACTCGGGGGAGTTATCGATGCGGTCAATTAGTCCTTCACCAAGGAAGTTGGAGCAAAGAATTGTGCAGAAAGAACCAAGAAAATTTCATAAAGGGACTAGCATGGGAGATGAATGCATCGACATTAGAGGCAAAGATGACCAGTTTGCAATTCAGCCAATAAGGAGGTCTATCTCAATGGATTCATCAGCAGATCGGCAGCTCTATTTAGCAGTTCAAGAAGCTATAAGACAGAACAGGCAAGCCAATGAGATTAGCCCTATTGAAGGTTGCAGTAGCAGAGTGAGAAGATCTTTCTTTTCTTTTGGTCATGGAAGAGGGTCCAAAAGTGCAGTTTTACCCGTTTATTTGGAGCCATAAAACCAGAGTTTTGGGGTTCTCTTCTTGTCTTTTTTAACATGGAGATTTTTCATGTGTTAAGAGAGGCAATTAAATTTGACATAGAAATGTTCAAATTGAAATTGAAAAAATCATTATTTTATTTGAATTTCTTCCTGGGGTTTTTAAATTATAATGACTTGGGGTAGGGGGCTGGTCCATTGTGTTCTCAAATGACTACAGCCATGATTATGAGCATCATTATTCCTTGCTTCAACAACCAATTACTTTTTATAAAGTTCTTGTTAAGTTTTAATTCTTTCCTTGATTGGATCCAGTATTTGTCTCATTTTTGCTTTGACATAAGAGAGAGATACTATAAAAGAAGTGGTAGAAGGGCGGAGGGGGTCACCTTCAATTGATTCAGCTGGCAAAGAAGGGATCCTCTTCAATTGAGAGAATCCGATGGCTACCAACTTCTATTGCCAATAATGTTATGGTTGTTGAAGAAGGAATATATGGTTTGGTCTCCGTTGGTAATGATCCTAATTCTTCTCAAGTACACTAAAATTCCAGCCTGTAAAAATCACCTCTTTAGCATTTGATCAATTTTTATTATAGAACTATTATCAAAACTTTCGGTATCTCAAATCATTCTAAAAATTTTTACCAAATACATAAAAATCAATACCATAAGTGGTTTATTTGTATGAACAATAAAATTGATTTCACTGATATTAATTCGTGTGATAGTAAAATTAATTAATATAATAGTGAGATTAGATATTATAATTACGAAATCAAGATTAGTGGTAAGAAGATATGTTTGAATGATGGCTATGAAAAAAAGTTTTTTTGTTCCAATTTTACATGGATCTTAATTAGAAGTTGTAAAGTTTTTGTTTTGATGATTTCCATTCCCTTTTCCTGTTAGGTTTGGCGTCACCATCAAGTCTATTTTCTTTCACCCTACCCCCTGTCAACAGTTCTAGCCAGGGTCAACCATGGACCTTATGGAAAACCTCAATGGGCCTACTGCAAAACTGTGAGTGCATGCATCAAATAACAATGGTCTGATGTACAAACCTTCAAGGTCTTCCACCTCGCCAAGGGTGTAATTCACACCAACACTTATTTCGACCTGGTAAAATTTTAACTTCAGCTCAATGCATGTTTCCACATTTCAGTGACAAACTCTTGAAAAATAAATGCAAAGAAAATCATATTTGGAAAAGAGTTAGAAACATGGATGCAATAAGGATGCAGCTTCTTCAATGTATCAGAAAAAAAGCACAGAAAAAGAAATAAAGACCCCTCCCTGTTGCATTGAGATAAATGTAGTTAAATACCAGTATATATACAAATAACATTATTGTCACTAATATCCCTTCTCTGTTTCTTGGAGAGCTGAAGTACACAGCCATACACTCATGTTTCTGATTTCTGGTCTCGTCACTGACAGACACTTGAACTACCTTTAACGAAAACAGAAATTCTATGCTACTGGTTTTTCCCTTTAGTGGCTCTTCAAATGGCAAAACATGCCACCCGAACTTTTGTTTTCACTCATGTGCTTGAAAGCATGGGCAAAGATTGAGATCAATGTCTGATGAGATTGCAAATGATTTTCTTGTAGGAAATTTAGAATGGGAGAGGGGAAAATTTTTTGATAAGATGTTTGTTGTAGTATAACCATATGATCAGAGTTGACAGCAGGATCAGCCTGTTGCAAAGAAAAAAAGAGAGACAGAGCAGAGAAAGGGAATAAATTATCATTCAACCTAGGCCCATACCCTCACAAAGAATCACAAAGCTAACCCAAAAAATGACAGTAGAGGCACAGAACTTTGGCCTATTGCTGCCCTTTATTAAAATTTATGTATATATATATATTCTCTCTTCGATGCCTTGGTTCATGTTTGATTTTTTATCAAATCAACTCAATTTTAATTATTGTTTTTAATAAAATTATAAAATTAAAAATAAAATTTGTAAATTTGTAAAATTTGAATTTTATTTTAATTTAATATTATATTTTAAAAATAAACATTTTTTAAAAATTATTTTAAAAATAGTAGTTAAAGTTGAATTTATTTGATAAAAAAAATCAAACAGAAAGACTATAATTTTCAATTTCTTGTTGTTTTAGTTATGGTTTTCAGAATTTAGAATGAAAATCAGGCTATTATAAAGATTTATTTTCAAAAAATGAAATGAAAGTGATTTTATGTGCTATAAAAAAAATTTCTAATAGTAGCAAATAAAAAACGATATTGTAGATTTATGATGCTTGTGCTTTCTTTCCTTTCTCATTTTGGACCGATTTTTGTCAGAGAAGCACATTGGGTCAATGTCTCTGTTAGGCCCAAGAATATAAAACCACTTGTCGTTATTATAATATAATAATTCCGTAACTATATATATATATATATATATATAATTTTTATTAAAATTTTAAATCATAATATTTTTGTATTTTTATGAGTTTTGTATAAATTATTAAAAAAATTATTTGGATAATTTAACCAAAATGAAAATTGGTTCAAGGAAAAAAATTCTCAACGTAAGTGAGATCGAATCACTGGGGCTGAGGCACGTTCGAGATTTCCATCTAAGATTTGCTTACCTTTCATTTTCTTCTGCTAAAATATTTTATTAGTTCTCTACGTCTCAACTTCAATTACCAAAGCTCCAACATCAAAGACCAAAACGACGGTTAGATAAAGAACCGCCGGCGATGAAGATAATGGTAGCCGTAAAGCGAGTCGTGGACTACGCTGTTAGGATTAGAGTCAAACCCGACAAGGTAAAATTAATGGAACCCAAACTTTTAATCTTTGATCAATTCATTACAATTTCCTCAAAAATGGTTTGCTTTTTTTTTTGGTAGAGTGGGGTTGAGACCCAGAATGTGAAGATGTCGATGAATCCGTTTTGCGAGATAGCTTTGGAAGAGGCTTTGAAAATTAAGGAAGCTGGGTTGGCTAAGGAGGTCGTGGCGGTTACTATGGGACCCGCGAACTGTGTAGATACTCTGCGGACGGGTCTAGCTATGGGTGCTGATAGAGGGATCCACGTGGAAGCTGCTCGTGAATTGGTTCCTCTCACTGTTGCTAAGGTTTTGAAGAGGCTTGTTGAGGTTGAGAATCCTGGGTTGCTCATTCTTGGAAAGCAGGTTTGTTTTACTCTTAGTTTTCATTGTTTTTAATTGTTTTGAGGTTTTTGAAGGATGTTTTTGTTCTGAAATGTTTGGTTTTGTGGGTAGTTTGAATTGGGCGTTGGGGGGGGGGGGGTTAAAAGTGATATTTTTGTTGCTTAGAATTGTTTTATATTTTTGGAAAGTTTTGATCTTCTCGGTGTTTGGTTCAATGGTTTTATATAAAAGTGTAGTTGTCCATTTTGTATTTTGAATTGAGCAGAAAAAAAGTGAGATTGATTATGGAAATGCAGATTTTTGCTTAGTCTTTAATGAAAGTTAGAGATTTTAGAATGTTATTGCAGATTCAAAGGTTGAATGATTTTATACGGTTGTTCTTTTCCTATTTCAAATGATTACTGAGAACATGGAGTAAACTGAATAGGAATGATGTTTCCTGTTTTTAAAGTATTGTTCCTTTGCCTTCTGATAAGTCTGGCCATAAGCTCAATTAACTTAAAGTATTCAAAATGGTCTTATATGAGTGGAGTTTTCTTGGGAAAAGAATATGCAATTCTATCTTATGATCACATTTAGCTATTTTTCATTTCCTACCTTTTCTTGGCAATAGACATGTTAGGTGTCTATTTCAGGGACGAGAGTTTCACGGTGAAGTTTTTCTTTATGTTTGAGCCTTCAATGAGTATAGTGCTGCTAAATTTACTGGATTTTGGACATATTGTCGTCTTCCATTTGGTTGTTTTTAAGTGGAACTTGTTTCATTGTTCTTCTTTTACTACCTCCATGGTTGGAGGAATTTATTTGGTAATTTTCATTTCTTATTATCCTGATTTTGTGTAGGCAATTGATGATGATTGCAATCAAACAGGGCAAATGATAGCTGGGCTGCTTGGATGGCCACAAGGAACCTTTGCTTCAAAGGTTAGTTCAGCAGTAAACTTATTCAGGAACTACTCTTCTATAGTTCTATTGCTACATTGCTTTTTTATCTTTTTCTTTTGGTTGATAACATATGTCATCATAGTTCATATAAAGCTTTAGCATAACTAGTATTGCTTGTTCTTTGATGCAAAATCATCTTTTGTTTAATTAGAAGGTAGAACTGACCAAAGGTCATAAGAGGAAGTTTAGAGACTGTTTGGATGTTAGTAGTATTAGAATGTCAGGTGAAACTGCTGTAGAATTGTATTAGCATTTACTTTTAATATACTTATAATTAAATTTGGCTGATATCCGTACAACTCTCTCATTGCTGTGGTTTTCATTCTTTACGTTTCTTTTTGTTACTAATATTTATGGTAGTATCTCAAATGTTTTTGTGATCCTGACTGCTGCTTTTTAGTAGGTTGTGCTGGACAAGGAGAAACAGGTGGCAACAGTAGATAGAGAGGTGGACGGTGGTCTTGAAACAATCTGTTTAGACTTACCTGCTGTGATCACGTAAGTACCTAATCCAGTCAATTTTTGGTGTTCATTATAAGTAAACTCTAATCAGAAGTCTATTATTTGGTTCTGGCACATTAAAGCTGTTCTGATGACAATGAACTATTGAAGATATGCCATCTAGAGGTTGCATGTGATGCAAAGTCATACCAAAATTTGTTAATTATTTAAAATAAGCATGTTAAGTGCTAACTATTATACTGTTGTGAAACACAAATTGATATTAGATACATGTTGTGATGTTGGCACTTAGCAGAAAGGACTGGGAGGATTCATGAGCTTTTTCAAGTGGCAGGCATATGACCTCATTAAGATGTTTGAAAGCTGTATAGTAGGTTTTATTTTACAGTATTCAGTGGTGTTGATAGTGGGTTAGGGAGGTTGGTTTGAGATTGTCTTCTTCCCCTAAGTTTTTAAGTTCAGTCTCCTAACATTTTAGGTCCAATTGTGGTAATCTTTTTTACCATCTCTTACACCGTGCACAATGAGCTAGCCTTAATAAGAAAAAAAAATGGGAATCTTTGTATGTAGTAAAAGGAGATTCTCAAGCAAAACGCTTGACAAAAGCTACTGATCAGAAAAGGCCTTAAGGGGAAATTACTTGATTGGGAGCCCTACAAGGGTGGGATTAACTTCATTCATGAAAAATTTACTAGTGCTATATGTTCTTAAAACAACTTCTAAGTAACCTGCAAAAAACCAACCCTCAAAATGCCCATCATAGGTTGACACGTTTCATTGCTCTATCTGGAATATACTTTTTCTCTGGTACTTTATCAGCACAGCACAAGTATGGAGAAACCAAATTATATATGTTTTCAATGCATAAACAACTGCATCGGATAATCTATACAAGAGATAATAGTTAGAATACTTTGATATTAATAACTGGTCTTCTGCATTCTCATTTCAAGTTTTTGTGAATATGCATTTTCTGAAATAGAATTCCTGGTAATGTTGACTTTATCTGTCATGTGCAGCACTGATTTAAGACTGAACCAGCCAAGATATGCGACACTTCCCAACATAATGAAGGCAAAATCAAAGCCCATAAAGAAGTATACTTCAGAAGAGTTGAATGTGGAAATCAAATCTGATTTAGAGATTGTTCAAGTCACAGAACCGCCCAAGAGAAAAGCCGGAGTAATTCTATCATCTGTTGATGAACTGATCGACAAGCTTAAAAATGAAGCTCATGTAATTTGAAAATTTCTCACTTCTCTGACAAATGGTCTAAGCTGATTGTCAACTTTTTCAAATAATTGATGACCCTGAACCGAAAAATAAAAGTTCACTGCAATGAAAGTCTATAAACTTCTTGTTCAATAAAGTTTTCAGAAATCCCTGTCTGCCTTTAGTTATGTTTTGTATTTTTCTGAAAGGTTGATATGATTCTCCTTTTGGAGAATCGCATAATTCAGGTTTTTGATGGATGAGTTGTTCTCAACTGTTGATAGTCTGGTTGGGTTGGACCAAGCTCTGAGGTTTTTCTTACTTTTGAAGTTTACACCTTAGCCCAATATTTAATACATACCCTCCTGGTTTTCTCACTTTATTTATTGATGGTATAAGAAAATGCCATTATTGGCTACTCCCCATTGAAAATTCAGTGGCGGCTGGGGGAGTCTTTCCTCTTGAATTGATTGTACTAGCCTAGTGCTAGTGTCCATTATCCTCTTCCTATAAAACCGATTGCTGAGATGTATATGTCACGTCATCGTTATCACTTTTCTATAAAATCAATTTATCGAGGTGTGCAGTTCTCACATTTTCATTCTCAAAATCTAAGCCCGACACTACCAGTTAGTGTTCCATTGTTAAAGTGATTGGGACGCTTAACAGCTGAATACTTTCAAAAGATACAAATAGTTATTAGTATTATTTTATTTATAAATGGTCAAGTTTATTTATAATTTTATTCATAAATTTAAAAAATTTGACACATTTATAAATCTAGTTAATAATTTTTAAATATATTTTAAATGAACTTTAAATTTACTTGAGAACTCTATATTGCTGGAATCTAACACGTGGCTATTGTTCAAGCTGGAATTTCTTATCCGCACAGAATTTTCTGGGTTGGAGCTTTCTAGGAATCCAGTTATGCTATTTGTTAAAATGGAATCAACTTGCATTCGTTTGTGGTTCCGCGGAAGTTAATTCTTTTGTGTGACCTGTTTTTGAAGTTTTGGCTCTGTTATACGAAGTTAACAGCATGCTCATCACTGCTAAGCTTCATGCTTTGGGATGAAGAAATTATAAAGATATGCCTTGCAAATTACTATAGATGATTTACATGATACTTTTGTATTTTAACTGGAAAAAAAGAACAAAAAGTGAAGGAAGAAGGAAGTGATTAGGAATTTCATGCGTGAAGGTGAACTTTGGACGAAGCAGGCTGGTATTAACTTCCACTGATCTTCTCTCTTTTCTTAATTTTCTGGATTTATCATGATTACATCCTCATTGCTGAAACCAAAAATTCAATACTCTATCAGCAGACTACGCGTCTGTATGCTCTTCAAGGTTCGCATTGTGATTCTTCCCTTTCAGCTGAAAGGGTTTTATGTGCTTTAAGAGTCATTTTCTGGTCATTGGCCAAGTAAGATTGCTTTTCTCTTCCTATTGGAGCTTCCTGATCACGATCTTTGCCCCACAGCAGCAAATACAGGCCAACAATGCCAATTACTCCCCCTAAAATGCTGGAAAACACAGGTGAACTTTTCAGAACCGACAATTTATATGTCAATCTTCTTGTTTAAGTGAAATGCATATGCCCAATTTTTTGTTCATGATAGGCTACAGTGAGATCATGAGTAAATTGAAGTAGAACTGACCTGCCCGTGTAAAGCTTTTCACCCAGGACAAAGTATGAAAGAACTGCCACCATTACTGTTGAAAGGGGATTGAACATAGTCACAAACACTGGCCCTTTCTCTTCCGTGCACCACAGTTGAAAGAAGATTATTATACCGGAGCACACCACCCCCTGCCATGGATGATTTGGAATTAGAGATTTACAAGAAAATTAAAATTTTCTTTCACTACGCTCTTTAAGTGTAGAATAAGCCCCTGCTTACAGCATATACAGTAGCCCAGAAGTCGATATTGAATCCTATTGTCCAAGCCGCTGGTTTATGCTCCACAATAACTGTGAAGGCCGCTGATTGGGCTGCCCCAACAAAGCTCATCCAGGTAGTTAGTGACAGTGGTGCTGGATATCGTTTCAACGTAAATGCCTACAAATTTTTGGTGATCAAAAGCATACTTCTTCATGTCTGCCTGGTGTAGAAATTAGTCAGTAGCTTTCATTTCACTTTTAGTTATCCTGGATTTTTCATTGTTGTACTTGTACCAAATGGTTATTTATAATTTCATTGTGTTTTACTTCAATCTTTTTTAATCTCTGTTGGTTATAGTGTTGCATGAAGCTTAAATTTGGTCTAGGCATAATTTTTTACCTGCATGATGTACCTTATGGACCAAGTTACGCAGCTTGCAACAGTAAGAATTGAACCCTTCAACCAATTCTCATCATGAATGGAGGATTTTCCTTGAATATAGACAAGAGGATGCCATAGATTTTTTATGTCAGGACCTTTGTACAATGTCATTATTGTTACACCAACCAAGGACACAATGGTCCCAAGAACTTTGGCTATTCCTCGAGGATTCCGAAGATTAACAACCTCCAATCTGCATGAAGTTGATCCAAGATATGAACTGATGGTTATAGTCATGGATGCTTTGGTGATTTATGGATCAAGAAGTATGCAAACCTGAGCACAACCGCAATTATGAATGTCAAAGAAGCTATACTGTTGACGACTGCTGCAACGAAAGTTGTAGAGGTGTATCTCATGCTTGCAAAGTACATGTTGAGAGTCAAACTCACCCTGTGCTAATTAGAAGAAACCTAGAATTAGTTTGTTTTGGTTTTTTTTTTTTTTTTTTGTACAAAAATGTTTGGGGTGAGGGGAGTTTCCCTGTTCCAGGGCCAAGGCAGACCGCTGTCTTAGTTTTTACTGAAATGTGAATATAACTTTGTTTTAGTTTTCATTGAAATGTGAATAAAACTTTCAAAGACATCCTTACCCCAGGATGGAGAGAACAAATATTTCCAGAAAAAGGGCAAATGTCAGCTTTGGCCTTGTTTTTCTGCAGCAAGGAAAGAAAATAAATTACGCGTATCAACATAAAGCATGATTGTCAATATTTTCATAAAGGATTGGTGCAGAAGTCATATTTGCATGAAAATGAATATTTATGTACCTTTCAAGGAAATAGGCAAAAGGGAACATCACAATGCCAGCTACAATGTGTCGATACGTTATGTGGACGTGAGGATTCATCCCATGATTAAAGCAAGCTTCTGTGATAATATAGAGGAAAGTGTAGCCAACCTGAGCGAGTACCATGAGGAGATGTGGCTTGAACTTTCTGTAAATGTCCGAATACGAGCCGGCTTTTTGAGCCATAGTCCCCCTGCTCAGTTCTCCCCTCTTTAAGGAGCAAATAAAGTATATGTATACTTGAAAATTTTATGGCAGATATGTTCTTATTTCCATTCCTATTATACTTGAAAAAGTAATAGCAGATATGTTCTTATTTCCATTCCTATTGCACGTTGTTGTTAGTATCATGTTCTTGATTAAAACTAAACGAGTTTCCTATCAATATGAGCTTCAATTAGTGAAAGCATGAATCTTTTCCCTCGAACAATTGCTTTTATGTAACGTTGCATGAATATTGTTTTTTCGACAGTCTTATCCATAAATTTTCAGCTCACCTAAAATGAAAGGGAATCTTTAAATATCTTCGACTTTATTCTTATTCCTGCTTCAAAACTCCATTTTAACAACTATCTTGGAGGTAGAACATGCATATATGCTAACGTTTGTTTACTCGAAATCATGCTTGCAACATGTCTGGCAACGTCCTGGAATGATTCTAACGTTGGGGATGCTAACTATGCCTCCAGCATCAAGTCCTTTAACACCAGCTTTTCTGTCATCAAATTCCTTCAACTCTTTAGTTCTGTTATAATCCACTGAGGTTTCGGATGCCATTTTCTCGGGTACCTGATATGCTCTTTCTTTCTTTCAAGATGAAGGGAGTTCTTCAAAATCTGAGAATTGAAATACGACTTTTCTTGAGGATAAGTTTGACTAAGAAATGAATAAAAGAGATAAATGAATAGGAATTACGATGACTTAAAAAGATTTTTTAATGCCCACAAATTGCAGTTGTTGCATATGTAGTAGAATTATATCAGCCCATGTGACACAAACAACCACTTAAAAGGCGAAAATCTCGAGTTGCCATGGACAAAAGCTGAGATTAGTTTCTGTTTCTGTAATACCCCGGCCCAAATAATAATTGGGCTAGACTAATACTAAAACTATTAGTTTATTAAGACATTATTTAATAAAAAAAAAAATTGAAATATTAGATGAAAGAAAACTTAATTATCGTGAAACAAAAAGGAAATAGAGTTCTTCTTCCTCATCTTCCTTAGGGTTAGAGAATATGAAAAATCAAGTTGGAGATTCATAATCAGAGGCTACAATCAAGTTAATCTCTTAAAGATGAGTACATATCATCTTTTTATTTGAAAAGAAATATTAAGTTAATTACTATTATTTGAAGTTGAAGTTTTGAGAGCAAAAACTAAGAAAAATCATGAAATCTTTCATTAATCTTCATGATTTATTTGGGTAAATTATTGGGCTTTGTTTTTTCCATGTTCTTAAGATTTATTGATGATTATTGAATGGAGTTTGAAGGCTGAAAGTAAGAATTTGAGTTTTTAAAGATTGAAGGAGAAATTCTATTTTTGGATGAGATGTTGTGATCTGTAATAATGAATTAAAATAGAATTTTGTATTAATGGATAGATTATTGCTTTGATTATTATATATCATTGGAAAGCATGTTGAATCTAGTTTCTAATGAAACAAACAAAGGTCAAATCTGAATTTTTTATAAAGAGTTGTCTAATTTTAACTTAGGGATATGCAGGCTGTAAGACAACAACATCAAGGTTGAATTTCGAAATTCTTCTTAATTTGTATATAAGGATTTACAGATTAAGCCATATATGTTTGGAAAGCTTATTGAGTCTACTTTCCAATGAAATAAGCGAAATTGAATTTGAAGTTTCCTGTGAATAAATATATAATTTTTATTAGAAGGTATACAGGCTGTTTGGTAGTAGTATATGACGTGGATTTCAAAAATTGTTATAATTAATCTACAAGGAATTATGAGGTGTGTCATATATGGTTAGAAAGCTTATCAAATCTAGTTTCTAACGCATTAAAGAGATCATAATTCTAATTTGGATATATTGGATATATTGAGATATGACTGTTTTAATGAAAAGAGGTCTGGCTGCCAGTATTAATTAGTTAAGTTAACCCTTTGTGTAACTTAATTGATTTTGTATAACTGATCTAAAAAAGGGTTAATTAAATTCTGATCTGTTAAAATGATCTTGGATAAGCCATTAATTATTTTGGGAAAAAACCAAGTGGTGGAATCGAATGGAGGTAAGTATAATCTCACACACTTTACTTATTTTCGAATCTATATATATATGTATGTTTTAAATGAATGAATATTTTATTTCATTATTTTCGATGTATGAAAATATGATCAAGCATATGATTATTTTAACGTTTCTCTATAAAAATGATGGATCATACTTATGAATGAAAATGAGAAAATGATTTATGTTTAAAGAATGATTTTATGATAGCTACGTTTTTATATTCCTAGGAAGTGAGATCATCGACACCAGAACTAGTTCTAACGACACTGACTAACGGGTAATAGTAGTTAGTAAATATATAATCATACGACTTTGGCTAACGGGTAATAGTAGTTAGCGTAAGCCCTGGCTAAACGGTTATAATAGTTAGCAATGATCATAAGAATGAAATTGTCGATACGGTCAATGTCACGGGTTATTGCAAGTAACCGTAGCTAACGATTTGAATGATAATGATGATTTACGATGATTTTTATGATTGATCCATGATTTGGTTTGATTATGATATTTGAATGATAGCATATTTTACAATGATTTATGAAGTGACATATTTTGACATTGATTTATCAATTTATGAAATATTTGACAAAACGATGACATTAAAATGTTTTGATATTATGATTTGATGAATGTTTTGAATGATTTATATGATGTGTAAGAAAATGATGCTTGATCTGATAAGGTGTGTGAGCCTATACTTACTAAGCTATGGTTTGCTCATTCCCTTTTTATTTTTTTCTTTACAGATGATTAAGTGATAAGTTTGATTATCTTGTGTGAAGCTAGAAGATGAAATGTAAAAGATTACTTAGTCGTCGAAGGCTATGTTGGCTAATGAGATCTTAAGAGATAGTTTTATATTTTATATGATTTGTATTTGAATATATAAAGATGTATCATCAGTTGGATTAAATATATAAATTTTACTTAGTAGATTGTTTTATTGAAAAATTTTAGAATGTTTAAGAAAGAAGGCTTTTAATTACTTTGAAATTTTCTTCAAGATAATATAATCGTGTTATGTCTTAATCTCGAGACGTGACAGTTTCTAAGTGCTTTAAACTAGCAGGCCATATTGCCTGTTTTTATGTTTCTGCAGTAGGATTCCCCCCTACTTGGCTTAAATAAAAAAAGAATTTCTTTAAAAAAAAAGGGAAAAAGGAAACTGATTGACAACTAGTGATTCTTGCAATACTAGGGATTTGAGAGCTGATCTTCTATCATAAGTAAGCATCCATGGCATTGAGTAAACACAGGTAAGATATTTCATCTCGTAGTGTATCGCAGTTGATTTTTCATTTATTTTGTGATGCTACTAGCATAACAATCTATGAAAAACTTAACAGTATATTCATATCCTTGGATGTTGTGATGAAAACTGAAGATCAAGCAAGAGTGATTAATTAAACAAAGCCAACTATCAGTAGCTATCCTTGCAACTTGAAGTGTGTAAGTGCAGAGTTCTCATCAAGTCCTTTTGAATCATAGTAGCTAATGAAGTCTTGCACTGTGGTTTCACGGTATATAGCAGGGGTTTCTTCTGATAACAATTCCTTAATTGGTCCATAGTTCCTTGTTGAAGGGTATAGATGAGGGGTGAAAAAGCAAGCTACAGATACTCTAGAGCCTATATGATTTGCCAAAACCCGGTGCTCCACGCTTTTGAATTTGTCATTAGATATAAGCTGCAACAACATAGAAATCAAACATGTTTGTTAAACAACATTGAAGATGGTGGAAGCAATTAATGATTACAAAGAACAGAATGAAGTAGCATGCTCCTGTGTTAGCCATTTTAATGCTTGTACTCAAACTTGCATGATGAGTTCTGGTATGAACTTGGAAGATGATCAAGAGATACGGCATGAAACTTCTCTGATGAGTTTTATGTTAATAAATCTGTTCCATTGTCAAGTCAGGAATCAGAAAATTTCTAGTTCTTAGCATTATGTGTTTTAAAAGAAAGAGATAGTCCGATATAGCACTGCACTCTCTCTTTTTCTTTTTCATTTTAATTTTTTTTCTTCTCTTTCCCTTCCAAATTGATATACCAGGGAGGCTGTCTCAACTCCCAACCTAGACTATTATCTGTTTATCGGAGCAAGAACTCAAAATGCAACATTTTCAACAATGGACATAATAATCCTTTGAACAATTCAAATGAAAGGGCTAACACAAGTTCAGTCCAACTATACTTTAGCATGTTTTTCTGGCTATGAAAAGTGCAAGAACCTAATTCTGACATGATGAAAACAATACCGAGGGATGATGCATGGATAGATGGATGAGAGGCACAAATACAATGCATTTTAATATATGTAACAACAGCTTACCTGTAAGAGATCTCCAATGTTAACAACTAAAGCCCCGGGTACAAAAGGAACATCAATCCACTGATTTTGATGGAAAACTTGGAGTCCACCAATTTGGTCTTGAAGTAGGATGGTGAGAAAATCAGGATCAGAATGCTTAGTAGTTCCCATAGTCAGTTCAGGCTCTGGGCATGCAGGGTAGTAGTGACTCAGAAGACAATGCCCCTTTGGACAATCCAACCCTAACAGGTGGTCAGGCTTTAGCCCAACTGCCTCGGATAGCAACTCAAATAAAGTAGTCCCTAATTTATGAATCTGTTTTGAGTACTCCATTGTTAGATCTCTGCATAAAATTAAATGCTCATTTCTTGAGGACAAATTCTGTTTCCAAAGGACAAAGGATATCCAAGATTTCCTACTTATTATTTTGAGATAAAAAAAAAAAAACATTTAGTAAGCATTTATTGAAGAATTTGTACAACATTACTCACATGCTATGCTTGAGAGATCTGCCAAGTATTTAAACCTGATAATTTTGGAGACTGATGTAGTAAAATGATACAAAAATGATATGGATTAAAGTTTTGGTAAAAAAATGAGTTTGAAAAAAACTAAAAAATATTTTTGTGTTTAGGTGTGTCATACACAACTTGTAATGCGATAATTATGTATTTTACATATGTTAGACACAAACAAACATACCAGATACTCAAATTGTCAGATTTATAAGTATATGAAGCAAGAACAATAGTGCTAGAAATTAAATTAAAAATTTTCAGCTCCCATGGTCTCCTTAAAAAGCTTATTGTACTTCAATACAGCGGCGGATCCAAGATACCTAGGTAAAGGAGCCAAGTCAAATATATGTATATATGTTAATGCAGATGCAGATGCACGCATGCATATGTATATACACATGTAAACTTGAAAACTAAATAATGTCTTTAAAATTTTAAAAAGATTTAATAAGTTAGAAAGTTAAACGTAATAATTAGAAATAACTATATTATCTTGAGGGGACCATTTATTTATTTTGAAAAATATTTTTAAAAAATTAATTCATATAGCATCAAGTAACTTCTAAAATTCTGGGGATGGCCCCTCAGGCTCTCCATCTTCTTACATCCATGTCTTTTCATCAAAAATGCAAATCAAATTTAGAGAATTGAATCATTTCATCAGCAATTTCCAGATATCAAGAGAAATGGAAATACTTTGAATGTACCTGCAAACTAGAGGCAATTCTTGTGGGTCAAGAGGTTCTGGTCCCATAACACAAAACAAAGTGTCCCTCCAATTAGCATAATTTGATTCATATAAATCAAAGTTACTCCCATATTTCACTTTTTTGGTTCTCACCCGAGTGTAATACCCTTTCTTCACCTCCACTGGAAGCTCGTGAAAGCCACGCGCCGCCGCCAACATCTCATCCAACACTCTTTGGGGCACCCCATGATTGACCACCTGGAAGAACCCAACCTCCGCCGCCGCCTTCTGGACTCCCGCGATCACCTCATCAGACCGGTTTTCAATGTTTTGAAGGTCAATGATCGGAATAGCAAACTGGATTTGAATTGGTTTGACTGAATCCTGGTCCACCTTTGGCCGGCGGAAAATCCGAGGAATTTTGGTTATTCCAGCGTCTACAAGGCCTTTGACTCCTGATTTAGATTCGTCAAAGGCTTTGAGTTCTTGAAATCTGTCATAAGTAGTTGGACCTTCCGTGCAGGAATCTACAATAAAGCTTGCAGCCATTTTATGTGTTGGAGTAGCTTCCAACAGAGATTAAATTAACAAAAAAGAGGAATTGTACAAGACGCAGTTGAGGCCATTTTTTGAGGTTATCTTGTCTTGTCTTGTCTTGATGTTGGAATCATGTAACCACATGCAATACGTGGCAGGATGAGGATATTTTACTTTCTAACCAAAAGTTCATGAGTCAGCGATAGACTGTAGTCCGATTATAAGAATCCCTGGTATCCCATGTTTGAATTCTGTTCTTTTTTATTTTGCATCTTTTTTCTAAAGCAGAATGCTTTCAAAAGGAAAAAACAATGAGTGCTAAGAATGTTATTAATTCTATAAAACAAATTTTAATAATTTGTGCATTTAATTTATATTTAATTTATATTAAATATGTGTAAATATAAAAAATATTAAAATAAATAAAAAACGAGAATTACTAATTTCGTTTCAGAATTTGAGTAGATAAAAACAATAGGAACAGTCATATAAACAATCTGATTAAAGTATTATAATTTTTGTTAAAATGTTAAATATAAAATAATTTTTTATTATTTATTTTATATACAATTTTTATTAAAATTTTAATTCACTTGTTTTCTTTGTACCCATTTTATATGGGGTGCCCTTTAAAATTGCTATAAAACACGAAACCGGACAAATATCTTTCTCCTCTTTCATTTTTCCTCTTTATTAATATCCTTCTCCAAAATTTTCTTTGATCTGATAACAATTAGATGCCTTCAATTGCTCGGTCGCAAATTCCAGTCATTATTGCCTCTGGTCCGTATAGCTAGAGCAGAAACATGAGATTGATGCTTAGCATGACATGTCTGAAAAACCCTTCAAATATATATATATATATATATATATATATATATATATGATCATGAAGAAGAGAAGAGAAATGTAGAGCAAAACGCATATTATTCATTTGAAAACCAGAAATGATTTACCTCAACGGGAACCCCAATCTCCCCTCCTACAGCTTGCATCTTGGCCAAGCTTGTTTGATAGTTTGGCACACTGCATTGTCAACAACACCTCTCATTTATCATCCTGGAAAAGATTAGAACGTTTCCCACTAATTTAGTAATGAAGAAATTATAATCCCACTGTAGAAATAAAGGAGAAGAAGCTGAAAATTATCAGAATATTCTTACATCAAGTATGAACCTGGCCAACTTCAACACTTCTTCTCACTTGGACCTCCAATGGAAGAATGGACACCGGTGTGCCGGCAACCCATCAAGCTAGATGTTAAAGATATACCAGTTTATTGCTCTAATGTAGAGGGAGAAGAAGATGGAAAGCCCTGGTATTATGACATCCTACAGTATGTTAAGGATCAGCAGTACCCAGTTCAAACAACAAAAAATGATAAAAGGGTCATCCAAAGATTGGCTATGAGCTTTTTCCTGGATGGAGATGTCCTGTACAAAAGAAGCAAGGATCAAGTATTATTGAGGTGTATAAATGAGACTAAAGTGAAGAAAATCATTGAAGAGGTGTATGATGGAATATGTGAGGCACATACTAATGGACATATGATGGCAAGACAGATCATGAGAGCAAGATATTACTGGTTGACGATGAAGAGTGATTGCATTGATTATGCTCGTAAATACCATAAATGCCAGATATATGCTGATAAGATCCATGCTCCGCCATCTGTTTTACATGTTATGGCACCACCATGGCCATTCTCAATGTGAGGCATGGATGTCATTGATCCAATCATCCCAAAGGCTTCTAATGGGCACATATTCATTTTTGTGATGATAGATTACTTCACAAAATGGGTAGAGGCAGCGTCATATGTAAATGTGACACGTTCTGTGATTTGTAAGTTCATAAAAAAATAGATCATCTGTAGATATAGACTTTCGAAGAGAATTATTTCAGATAATACCAAGAATCTAAATAGCAAGATGATACAAGAAGTATGTGCTCAATACAAGATCAGGCATCATAACTCGGCACCATATCGATCGAAGATGAATAGGGCAGTTGAGGCAACCAATAAGAACATAAAAAAGATTTTGGAAAAAATGACTGAGACTTACAAAGATTGGCATGAGAAGTTACCATTTGCATTACATGCATATCGAAGGTCAGTTCACACCTCTACTGGGGCAACCCTATTTTCTTTGGTTTATGGGATGAAAGCTGTACTACCAGTGGAAGTAGAGATCCCCTCTTTGAGGGTTTTAAAAGAAGTTGAGTTAGAATAAGCCGAATGGATTCGAGAACATTATGAGCAGTTAAATTTCATAGAAGAAAAGAGATTGACTGCATTGTGCCATGGTCAGCTGTATCAAAGAAGAATGATGAGGGCTCATGATAAGAAAATTCAGCCCCGTTGGTTTCGAGAAGGAGAGTTGGTCTTGAAAAGAATTCTCCCAATCCAACACGATAGTAGAGGAAAATAGACTCCGAATTGAGAAGGACCGTATGTGGTGAGACGGGTTTTTTCGGGTGGAACACTGATACTGACTAAGATGTATGGAAATGATTTACCCCATCTTATAAATTCTGATGCTGTGAAGAAATACTATGCTTAAAAAAATGAAAAATGAAAAAAAAAATGAAAAAATGATGAAAAAATAGAAAAAATGAAAAAATGAAAAAAGAAAAAGTGAAAAAAGAAGACTCAAGACGAAAACCCTAAAAGGGCGGTTTGAGTCATAGGGGGTTTGTCTAAGTTGAAAACTTGAAAGGTAGCTTAGATAAGGAGAATACAGCATTGAATTTAAAAGTTCGCTGATATAGAGGCTAGCAAATTTGAAAGAGTTTCAAGTTGTTAAATACATCAGAGGGTTGAGTTTTCAGAAAAACTTTGAGATGTGTTATCATGATTATTTGATTGTTTATTTTGGGCTTTGTCCCCACACCTATCCTTGTAATTCTTTCTTGGCCAAAGTTTGCCAACATTTTGCTAATAAGAGACATTCTATTTCATTCTTTGTGTCTTTTTCTTATGACTGTTTCTCAACATTCAGATTCTTTTCTTCTTAATACCCCACCATTGAAGAAATGTGCAAATGCATTCTTACTTTTTGAGCTTGAAATAATGATAGATGAATGAATAACAATATGAAAGATTTTTACATTACATTAAATAAGTCAAAAGTGAAAAAGGCAGAATCGAGATGTTCAGCTCCTGATTAGGACATTGAATTTGGGAAGAGATTTTTTACAGAAAGAATATGAATGGAAGAGACAATTAAGAGCTACACTGGTTCGATCTTAGAAGAGCAGTGTAATTGGATCTCTGAAGAATCAAAAGGCTTGATACCCAAAAAAAAAAAAAAAGCTTGAGAGACTTGAGTACCATACATTGAATAGGAATTAATTGGCTAACATTTGCATAGCATACATTGAAATTGATATGCATTGCATAGCATACACTACTTTCAGGAAAGTATAGTGTATAAATTCAAAAAGCAGAGTGTTCCAACATCCCACATAGAGAAGACAGATATGAAGATATTTTACAAATTTGAAAAGAAACTTGTCAGGTAAGTTCCTAATCCTTGAAATAGGATGTTCTTTTGATATCAGGGTTGATTTATAAGACCTTTGGGCATAATCTCCTGAAATTCTTTCCAACACAACTTTCAACTCTTTTGGACATGATTGTCAAGGAGCAATTTATTTTTCAAAGTCGTGGTGCCTCTGAGCAATTTACTTTCCAAAGTCGTGGTGCCTCTGTTTAGAGGAGCAATTTATTTTTCAAAGTCGTGATGCCTCTGTTTAGAGGAGCAATTTATTTTTCCAAAGTCGTTGAGCCTCTGATTAGAGGAGCCATTTATGTTTCTCAAAGTCATTGAGCCTCTGCCTAGAGGAGCTGTGATCAAAAACAAAAAAAAAAAAAGTAAAAAGGTCGACTTTTATCTTGATTGGGTGTCTATGCCTTTGCGCAATTTATGTTTCACAAAAAATGTGCAAAAAGGGGCAGCTGTAGACACCCAATTTGGTCTAGGCCTGAATTAGTTGGGCCTGATCCAAATGGGTAAGCCCAATTTTGTTTTATATTTTTGTTATTTTTATTTTTATATTTTATGTATATATTTTCTTTTATATCCTATGTATTTATTATTTATTTATTATTACTATTTATTAATATATATATTTTTATTTTTTTTTTTTTTCTTTTTGTTTTTCATTTTATTTTATATGTATTTTTATTTATCTCATATTTATCTGTTATTTTTATTTTTTTGTTTATCTTATAATATTATTGTTGATTTATCTTATTATTATTTTTCTAATTATCTATTAATTTTTTTATCTGATTTTTATTTTGGAAGCCTGGGATTGAATTCTGTTGAAAAATCCTACTGAGAATGGGGATTCAATCAGAGTCCAGATTGGATTCAAAGATTGAATCCTCGTCCAAAAAGGAATAGGGATTGATTAGAAACTCTTCTGATCAATCCCTATAAATAGATACAGAATACAGAAGCAAAACACACAGAAAAATAGTGAGCAAAAGCTACTGATTTGAGAGAAAAGAGGTGTATAGAAGAGTTTTTGAAGGCTAAAAGAAGGTTGAGAAGTGTTAGAATAGCTATGGGAATCGGGAATAATTTTTTAGAGATTTTTGACGAAATTTTTCTGGAAATTTCTGAAAAATTTTCAGATTCCGATGATTTTTTCGACGAAAGTTGAATTTTTTGGTGACGATTTCGACCAACTTTGAAGTTTTCGATGAGCTGCCCAGTTTTCGACGAAAGATCCGAAAAACTGATCAACTTTTCGACGAACTTCTGACGAAAAACCCAGATTCTGACGAAAAATCCAGAATCCGATGAACATTCAACCGGAGTTCTTCAGCTTTTTAGAGAGAAGCGAAAGGAAAAAAGAAGAAGAGAGAGAGTGGGGAGAAGGTTTCTACCGAAAAAGAGAGGGAAGAGCCTTATATACCCTCCCAAAATGACGTCGTTTTTGCCTTAAGTGGCCCAGAGGATCCGCGCGTTTTGTCGAGATCCAACTCGACCCGAGCGTCGACCTGCTTCCTGACCCGCGCGTGTCTCCCCCCTCCGAGCTGATAGTCAAGCCGAGCCGAGGTTTCAAGCGGCTTCTCCGAGCCATTTTCTCTTCTTTGAGCCGAGCCGAGCCAAACCGTACTCCGAGCCACTCCAAGTTTTTTTTTATTTGTTTTTTTTTTATTTATTAGATTAGGTTTATTTAGTATTCTTTTTACCTTTATTTTATTATTTTATTTTTGTTTTACTTTTCTTTATTTTATTTTTTTATTTTCACTTTTATTTTGTTTTATTATTTTATTTTCTTTAAATAAAAATAAAAAAAATATTTTTGGGGAAAAGCTGAAAGTATCAATTTTCCTTAAAAATAAAATTTCAAAAAAGGGTTTTTGAGAAAAAGTTGAAAGTATCAATTTTCTTTGAAAATCAAAGTTTCAAAAAAATATTTTTGGGGAAAAGTTAAAAGTATTAATTTTCCTTAAAAATAAAATTTCAAAAAAAAAGGTTTTTGAGGAAAAGTTGAAAGTATCAATTTTCTTTGAAAATGAAAGTTTCAAAAAAATATTTTTGGGAAAAAGTTGAAAGTATCAATTTTCCTTGAAAATAAAAGTTTCCAAAAAATATTTTTGGAGAAAAATTTTCCCTGTACAAGAACAATCATCTTTTCCTTCCCTTTTATTTTGATTTTGATTTTGATTTTTTCTTTAAATAATCAGACGATGGAGCCTCTGCAAGTGAAACAGTAGTTTTTCTTGTATATTCTTGAGGTTAGAGAATTTTCTCATTTTCTGCTAAAAGTATTAGAGTCAATTGAGAATAATTTTCAATAATTAATTACTTGATAAAATTTTAAGGCTCATTGGATAACACAAATTTAAGCTGGTACCATCTTTTGATGGATGTTATGATGGTGCTATAACCTTCCTCACGCATAACCGAACTCCCTAACCCTGTTCTAGTTAGTAGACCTGAACCTATTCTTTTAGGGACCCTTAAACTAAACTTAGGTGTTCCCTGAAAGGACAGATTCTTTAGGTGACCAATCGCACATAAATAAAAAAGATTGGTGGCAACTTCCTAAAGTCAATGTCTAGCGATAGATCCCCGGATCTAGACGTTATGACATTGTCAATTGATTTTAAATTAAATATTTTAAATATATTAAATTAATATAAAAAGAATGTGTTTTTAAAATTATTTAAAAAAATAAATGCAAACAAAATTTAGAAACAATTTTGACTATGTAAAAAAATTATTTTAAAATTTTTTATGGTTTTGGAATTAAAAAATACTTATGTAGTCACCACAATATTATCAATATCTTTTTTTAATATAAATTTTAAAAAATATATAATTTTTACAAGAATAGTAAGAATTGTTTAGAATCGATAAATTATTATTTATCATATAACATTCATATAATATCCACAAAGTTTTTACAAAAATATTTAACATTTTTATTTAATAAATTATATGCATATAATAAAATTCTACTAATTAGATACATATAGTCAAATTAAGTTAATAGTATTAAAATTTAAATTAAAATAATTCATTATTTAAAAGTTTAGAGTATATACACTTTATTTCTTTAAGTATCAATTTATATATTTTTTAAATTAAATACTAAAAATATAATTAAGTCTTATTAATTATAGGCAGACCATCAAAATCCAACTTTTAATAATATTGTGGGATTAGCTTTCTTTAATACCTTCTTTTTTGTAAAAAACCAATGTTATGATTCAATAATAATAAAGATCTGTACTTAATATGTGAGTATTATTTGTTTTGATTTAATGAATTTACAATTTGTCACACAAAAATACTTCAAAAATATATATATATATATTTAAATTTTTACTTATATATCATATCAAATTTTATTAAGATATCACAAACTCTCCCATTTAAACTTGATGCCAATGACAAAGACAACACAAAACACATATAGAATTAAGATTACACCAAATATTGAGATTTTAGATGTAGCTTTTACAATATAATATTTAATTCTCATTTAATTAGTGATCGCTCTGATAATATTTATAAAGGTCTTTACCTAACTTGTAAAATATTATCCACTTTGATTAAAAAATTTTATAATTTTATCTTATAAAAAATATTTTATAAGTATGAATTTAGATCATATGTCCGCAAAAGATCTCATCATGGGATTGGTTAGTCACAATAATAATAGGTGTTCATTGTTAAATTCTAGTTGACATTATAATTGCCCCCTAAACAAAGTGTTGGGCGGATCTTACTATGAAAATTTGTCCCAGAGCGAGAAGAAAAAGAGAGAAACAATACCATCACTTTTATAAAGGATGGCAGTAAATTTACTACTTCTACAGTCGAGTAGCCCACTCACCAACTTCCAACATTATTTCACGAGATTGTGTCATTTTTGTCATCCACGTTCGATTCGATTCGGAAATTTGTTCTCACGGGTAATTTCCTTTTTGTAATTTGGAATTACGTATTGTATTTTCTGTCGCAAAGTAAAAAAACAGTTTTTATTTCTAAACCAAAGTTGCAATGTTGGATAAATGGGCTTCAGATTTTAGGTGCACAAAATAATTTACTTTTGCTTCAGTTCGTTCATCGTCTGATAACAACTTCCAAATAATTAATTTTACTTTTTATAAAAGTAAAATGAAGTAGAAAGCTAAATACTATTTGTGGCATTCTCTTACAAGGATGTTAAATGACATGTTCAAGCTTGAAGAGGTAAAATATGACCCAAAAAAAAAAAACAGTGAAAATTTTTTTATATGTTAATACAATAATTCAGCAAATGAAAAGAAAATGAATAGTTTTCTATCACTTTGATGAAAGTTGATAATAGCTCACGAATTGACAATATTTGCATGAGCTCAATTTGTGCTGAATATGCTAATGGGAATCTTAATAAACCAATCAACTAGTCCAAGTTATCATTTTTTCTTTCCAATAATTGAAAACATAGACAATATCACAGCCTAAAGAGATGTAGGGGAGAAGTTCCATCAAGCCCACGTTCATAAATGTAGGAAACAAAGTCTTTAACTGTTGTTTCTCTATAGATTGGAGGATTGTGTTCTGATAGTAGCTCTTTAATGGGTCCAAACAGCCTGGAAGATGGTAGTAATCCTGTGGTGAAAAAGCATGCCACTGATATTCTTGGGCCTTCACGGTTTGCCAACACTCTGTGCTCTACGCTTTTGAACTTGTCATTTGTTATAAGCTGAAAAAAAACAATAAACAAGAATGTCAATTCTATGAGTACCTGAATCCAATATTAGAAAGTGAGAGACTTGCCTGTAGAAGATCTCCAATATTGACCACTAAGGCACCAGACACAGAAGGAACATCAACCCAGTGATTCTGATAAAGCACTTGCAAACCTCCTATTTGGTCCTGTAGAAGCACTGTTAGGAAGTCATTGTCCGAATGCTTGCTTGTGCCTAAGGTTAGTTCTGGCTCCGGGCATAGTGGATAGTAATGGCATAAGACTGAAAGTCCCTCAGCACATCCCATCTCCTCGAGGTGACTTGGTTTTAGTCCAAGAGCTTCAGACAATAATTTAAACAATGGACTCCCTAATCTGATTACATGCTTCGTATATTCCAATTGAATATCTCTGCAATCCGATGATTAATCAAAACAATAAACTTCAGCTATGTAGTATTTGGAACAAAATAAAGTACAAATAGTCATTGACAGACCTCAACACGATAGGCAATTCTTCTGGCTTGGGAGGATCGGGAGCCATGACGCAAAAACAGGTATCTCTCCAATTTGCAAATGGAGCAGTGTACAAATCGAAGTTGCTTGTATACCTATATCTTGGTTGGCGATCACGTGCATAGAATTCTTTCTTTACCTCAACATCTAGCTCAAAAAATCTTCGAACCCCATCTTTCATCTCCTCCAGAATACTTAAAGGTATCCCATGATTGACAACCTGGAAGAAACCCCATGTCTCCGAGGCATGCCGTACTTTGTCAATGATTTCCTTACGCTGCACTGGATCACTACCAATGCCTTCTAGATCAATAACAGGAACACTGCATTGGATTTTCTTGGTATCTGAAGCATCTCTCAAATTAGGTGGTGGGATGAACATCCGAGGAACCTTAGTAACCCCAGCATCAACAAGACCTTTGACACCAGCTTTTGAGTCATCAAAAGCTTTCAGTTCTCTTTTTCTGTCATAATTGGAATCATCACAAACTTCAGCGCCACCAGTTACAACCATTTTCCGTTTTTTTTTTTTTTTTTCTTCCGAATGTAACTGAAGCAGTAGAAAATTATGTGGAATACTGAACAGAGTTAAACAATAAGACTAGAGGAGCACTAGACGACAGGAAAATTTATTTCTCATAAGAGTGGCTAGAAATCAACCACATCAAAAAGGATAACAACAACGATAGCTGCTTGGTCCCATGCTCCAATAACCACAAAATACATGCCAATCCAACTCACCATTGTTGATAAAAAGGTTAATCCTTTTTTTTCAAATAGAAAGAAAATGGTGGTCTCCAAAACCGTTGTGAGATTGTGATATATTAGGGTTTATTCAACGTTATGAATGTTTTGATTTACAGTGAAATATTTGAGGATGTATTTGAATTTTAAAAATTTTAGGATAATATCCAATTTGGCCCTTAAATTATTGTAATATTTTGATTTGGTACCTAAACTAAAAAAGTTATTAAATAGGTACTTAAACTCTCAAATTGTATACCAATTTGGTCTAAGAGTTAACTCCGTTAATCGAGCTATTGGTTTGGCTATTTTAGCCAATAAAAAATCATCATCTATACAGAAAGTGACATGTCAACTTAAGTTGTTGCTTACATGTCATGCTTATGTGGTGATATATAAACTAGTCTAAACTAATTTTTATAAATTTTAAAATTTTTTTCATTTTTGCTTTTCTCTGTTCCTCTCTTTCTCTCTCAAACATAAAACCCCAAAATTTGAAAACTGAAGAACATAGCCACCAAATTTTTCCATTTTCTAGAAACTGATCACTAGTCAACATCACATTGTTGCCTAGTCACTATCCTCTGTAGACTCCCAAATTTCACCACAAGCTTTCTTTTGGCTTCCTTGTCCCAAATTTGGACTCAGATATTCACAAATCAGTCTCCAATGTCCCAAATCTAGAGTTAAAGCTGGGGCTTTTCAAACTCTTCCCCTTTCTCTCTTAAACAGGTTTTCAAAGAATCCTTAAAAAATCCAAGATCAAAATTTGAAAGCCACAATTTTCATTGCCTTTTTTGCCACTAGTTCTACCATTAACACAAATTCTTTCCTAAAAATAAAATTCAAATCCCATAATCTTAACTTGAAATTCTAATGCGGAAACCTTAATCTCTTTTTCCTTTATTGTGCTTTTTGTTTTATGTGTTATGTGCAGGATTTGGGTTTGGGGATGCTAAATTGTTTGTTGGTGTTTTCGGGTTGATGAGATTTCTGGGTTCTGGCTATTGAGTTGCTTGAGTTTTCGCTGTGTCTATTCGTGACTCTCTATTTTTACTTTTTATTGATTTCGATTTGGAGTTGTTGATTTGGCTTTTGGATTTTTGCTTGAATGTTTTCAATCATCTGTGCTGAAGTTTCTTTTGGGTTGACTTGATTTTTGAGTTTGGGTTTCACTTCTTGTGTTGTTGAGACTACGGGTTTTGTTGGGTTTCTTTGATTTTTTGGCGTTAAGACTTCTTTATTTCTTGTTTAATTGAAAAATTCTTATTTGTGTTTTTGAATTCTTTTATTGAAAAATTGGATTTTTGATTTTGGAGAGGGATATAACATAGAAGATTTTTTAGAATTTTTTAAAATTTTCTTTGAATGCTGATGTGGCATTGATGATGTGACTCTAATTGAATTTTTGACATATATCAACATCTTATTAGATATTTATGCCATATCAAGGCTTTGGTTAACGGTGTTAATAGTTAGGGCAAATTAACATACAAAAATATAGTTTAAGTACTTGATTAGAAATTTTTTTTATTTAGGTACCATATTAAAAATACAATAGTTCAAGAGCCAAATGGGACATTATCCCAAAAATTTTTATCATGATATTTAAATTATGAATGAATGAATTAATTAATATGCTAATCACCTCATATGTGATTAGCATTAAATGATACATGTGATACATAAACAACTCCTAGGTATTATATTAATTAATATATTCATAATTCGACTATCATATTAAAAATTTTTAAAGTTCAAATATCACATCAAATATTTTATTATAGTATAGAATCATTGGTAACATTGATTTTTTACAAAAAGATGTGACCTTGGCTTAAGAAATTATATGGCAATGACAGTTTTCAAACTGGATTGGGATATGCAATTCTAGACCAAATGACCATGTTTTTCATCAGTGCAATCTTTCTTATGCTTTGTGAACGAGGGTAAAGAGACTTCTTGAATAGTCATGAATCTTATGGTTGAGAACAGAGGAAAAACAAAACAAAAAACTAGAGGGATATGGAATATCTATTGGAATGTGGAATTCATATCTTTTTGTCCCATTTATGATATGATTTTCATAATTCCCATTTCCATAAGCCATTTAATTTTTTTCTTTTTCTAGTTTGGTAATGGAGATTTGAGTTAATTAAAATCATTGAAATCAAAGATTTTCATCATGGACCACGGAAGTTAACTTCCGCTAGTTCAATCTTCATCATCTATTACAAATTTTGATGGACTAAATTTCTGATGATAATGATAACATAAAAGGAACACATGTGAATTATTAGATCATATGGACTAAATTGGTATATAAAATGCAAATTCTAAGTGCTACTCATGCTATTATCCCTGTATAATCACTAGATGATTTCACAATTTAAAATGTGCAAGTGAAGACATCCTATCGATCCCTTTAGAGTACTTATATGTCAAAAAATTCTTGGTAGTTATCTTCTTGTACATTGGCGGGTTGTCATCAGATAACAATTCCTTGATTGCTTCATAAACTCTTGTGCTATCAGGGAAGTGTTAGGAATCACTACAGTTTTGATACCACTTGTTAGGATAAAAAGCTTTAATCCAATCACACCAACAAATGCAAAATCAAATAATCAATCAAACACACAAAAATAATAATTTAATGTAGTTTGATCAGCTGATGTACATCATGGATGAGAAACAAGATTCACTAATTGTAGAGAATTACAAACATACATCAAAATATATCAACCACTCAACAATAAACACCTATAAACGCTCTCAATCTCCTCTAGTTCTATAGAGTATTCTCAATCCAAACAAACACATACCCATGTATACCATTTCAACACAATTAAACACATACCTATATGTATCTATACATCATATCTATGTGGACCCTCTTAGTCTTCTCTAGTCCACTCACAAACAAACATACATAATCATAAGACATAAATCTTCAGTAATCTTATGGGGTGTTTATCCATAAAACCTTACAACTCTTTTACATATTTTTTTCATACCTAAGCCTATAGAGACTTCACCTATTTATAACCATATAAACTTGCCTATTAAGAATTCTCTTTATTTTAGAATTCTTTTTTTGCAAATCAAACTTGTTTATTAAGAATCCTTTTTTCTCTTAGAATTCTTCTCCTACAAGTCTTTTTGTCCATCAAGCAATATTTAGTCAATCCCAAATAAATCTTTTATGGGATTTGAGTAATTATTCCCAACAATCTCCACCTTGACTCAAATTCCATCAAATCATCTGTCTTAATGCTAGACATACTTGGTTCCACCTACAATGAAAGTTTCACAATTATCTTTTCTTATATTTCTTCACGCTTCATGCAAATTAATCTTCAAAATATGAACTCGAACTTCTTCCTTAAGTCAAGCTCCTTTAGGCTAGCCTCTTTCCATGGCTCAAACCTTCAGCTCTGATAACAATTATTAAGGATCACTACAGCTCTGATACCATTTGTTGAGAATCACTATAGTTTTGATACTACTTGTTAGGATAAAAAGCTTCAATCCAATCCACTAATGAAAACGAATCAAATAATCAATCAAACATACAAAAAACAACAATTTAACGTGGTTCGATCCAACTGACCTACATCCATAAATGAGAAACAAGATCTACTAATTATAAAGAATTACAAACACATCAAAATGTATCAACCACTCAACAATCAATACTCATAGACCCTTTTAATCTCCTCTAGTCCTATGGAGTATTCTCAATCCAAAGAAACACGTACCTATGTGCACCATTTTAACACAACGAAACACATATCCATATGTACCTATACATCATACTTACGTGGACTCTCTCAGTTTCTTCTAGTCCACTGATAAATATACACACCCATAAGACGTAAATTTTCAATAGTCTTATGGGGTGTCTACCCATAAAACCCTACAACTCTCATATATTTTTTTCTCATACCTAACTCTGTAGAGATTTTACCTATTTATAATCATACAAACTTGACTATTAAAAATCCCCATCCTTGTAGAAATTTTATTCTGTAAGTCAAACTTGCCTATTAAGAATTTATTTTTCTCTTAGAGTTCTTCTCTTTTAAGTCTTTTTGTCCATCAAGCAATATCTGGTCAATCTTAAACAAATCTTTTATGAAATTTGAGTTATTATTCCCAACAGGAAGTTCCCTAATGAGGCTGTGTTCTGAAAAAGCACGCCATTGAAATTCTTGGGCCATTACATTTCGCCAAGACTCTATGATTCATACTTTTGAACTTGTCATTTGACATGAGCTGCACCAAAACAAGAAATATAATTCAGGTCGAATAGATTTTACTCTAAAAATGAAAACTGTACCCTGTCACACCCTGTGACAAAATCAAGGCAAATTATGGAGTGGTTCCACAAATTTTTTTCTCTTTTGCTAGTCGAGTCCAAGGTATATAGATTTCCAATGATTCAACTAGAACAATACTTGCAATATAATCAAAGCCACAGGAAAAACTTGCCTGTAAAAGATCTCCAATGTTTACTACTAATGCTCCAGGCGTGGGAGAAACATCAAACCATTGGTTCTCATGAAGAACTTGCAGGGCACCAATTTGATCCTGTAGAAGTACGGTCAAGAAGTTAGGATCTGTGTGGTTGCAGGTCCCTAGGGTTAATTCCGGTTCAGGGCATGGTGGATAGTAATGTCCTAAAAGGAATCCTTCAGCATATCCCATGCCTTTTAGGTGGTCAGGATTAAGTCCAAGGGCCTCTGATATCAACTCCAGCAAAGCTAGTCCCAGTTTCATCACTCTCCTTGAGAAATCCATCACTATATTTCTACAAGCCAATTACCATAAGTTCAATTCAAGCAACAATGAATGGCAACTGAGTACTGAAAATGGAAAAGAAAAAAGAAAAATAAAATCCAATGATTTCTGATCACAAACCTGCATACTTCTGGTAATTCTTCAGAGATAGGCCAATGAGCAGCCATGAAAAGAAAGAGTGAGTCCCTCCAATTTGCAGCCTTTGATTTATACAAATCAACATTATTTAGATACACAACCTTTCCGGTAAGATCACGCGTGTAGAATTCTTTCTTTTTCTCGGTGT